GATAAAGTAGTTGAGGGGAGAGCACGAGTAAACTCTAAGAGTGGTGAGGTAGCTATGAGAGAGATAATTGTGTGAGGGATGTAGAGGTGTCTCCCTCATGTGTAAATGACTTACAATTTATAAGTACAGAGTCTTAGTTGATACGGTGACATTAGAGATAGGTTACTGGTCATTCGCGAAGGACAGCTACAGCTGCGAACAGGTATAACTATAGATAGTCTTCATGTAGGAGAGTGACTATTCCGGTGATTGCTCCCTCACGTGCTCTAATATTCCTAGATAGCTTGAACTTTGGACTAGGCCGATCTCCATGAGTTAGGTTTGACCTTTCTTTTAGTTGATTCGGACATATCTCATTAATTGGGTTTGGACCCAGTTAAATTTAGGCTCATCAATATTATATTTTGGTAATAGATTCACTATAAAATTGATTTGAGGAAATCAAGGTGATAATGTTACAATTTGTCACACTATTTTCGTTACGAACAACAATATTTTTAAAACAAAGTCACATTCATTTGAGAGAGAGAGAGAGAGAGAGAGAGAGTATAACTACACCTAAGAAATAAGGCTCTTATGAATTATGGTGAACTCAGGACATTCTTTCTCAAAAGAGCAATGCAAAGCCAAAGCCATAAAAATCATGGCATTGCAAAATGTAGGAATTTTTTTATTTTTCTTTTTACAATCTTGTGTGATGCACATAATTTTTATCACACCCTAATTAGTTTTGATATTATGAAAAAAACAACTCATATGTACGATATATCCACACAAATTCCTGCCTTGTGAATAATTTTATGGTATCATACTCAAAATGTGTTATCAGGCTTAAATTCTATCTTAGTTTGCTTGTAGTAATTGATTATAAAAATAATAATTAAATATAAAGTAATAAGATATAAAAAAAAATTGATATGCGTTTGTTTTGTTGTGATTGACAAAATATAATAAAATTTAGAATAATGTATAGATATTATAGTTAAACAAAGATGATGTATATATTTAGTCCATGCATGATGATGATGCATTCATTAAAAAAAACAAAAAACAGTAAGTAGAGAAAGGAAGGACAATACGATACGTGTGGGGGCCAGGCCAGGCCAGGCCAGCTGTATTCTCTCTCTATTCTAGCCTGGCTATAATATATGCATTTGGATGTATCCATCCGTTCGTGAAGAGTAGTACCGAAATTGGACCAAACTCCTGAGCAGTACTTGAGTACATAGATTGATCCGATCGTACAATACCACCCACCTCACCTGCTCTGCTCTGCTCTGCTCCCACATTACACTCAAACCATACAAACAAATTAAGAAAAAAACTATATTATAATCACTAAATCTTTTTATTAAATTAAATCTTTCATCTAATAGGTATTGCCTACTTGCTCCAATTTCAAATTTTCAATTAAGACCAACACAAATTAAATGTCAATACAAAGAAATTGAACTTTGGTCTTGTTAATTTGATAAAATTATATGGTAATTGAATATTGATTTGGTGATACTAAATGTTAATTTGAGAAAATTAACGTCAAATTGAAGGTTATTTGGTGTTAATTTCATAAAATTGATTAGCAATTTATTGTTGATTGGATAAACTTTAATATCATTTGTTGAAATTTAATGCTAATGTGATATAGTAATTGAAAGTCAATTTGCTTGACAAAATTAAATATCAATAAAATTTATATTAATTTGATGCAATTATGTTAGTGATGGTAACATGTAAAATAGACACATAAACTTCTCCCATAAACAAAAGATTTTGATTTTGTAGTCATAATTAGGCTAAGGAATAATAGAGCTTAAAATGAAAAAACGTAATAATAATATAAGGGGGTCTTGGTAAGGGTAGTTTTGTCAAATCACTTTTTTTGTTATTATCATAAACCTACAAAAACTGATAGGGGGATGAACAGCAAAATTTACCCAATTTTTAAAATTACAATTTTTATAATCGATCATATCAATTATATAGTATAATAATTTATAATTCAAAAAATTATAACATAATTTTAAAAAATTATAAATTTTAGTATCTTGTTATTTTCTTTCACATCAACCATCCATCGTCTATTGTCAATCGCTCATTACTGTTTTTTTCATGAATGGGAACACAAACGCCTTCCCGGCCATTTATACCTAATTAAAGAATAAAAAAGTATTGATTCACCCGGCCATAATGCATTATATCCAATGAAAAGACTATGCTAATTTTTTTTGTATAAATTTTGAGGGGGTCATCTATAATTTTTGGAAATTATTTACCAATATTAGTTTTAGTTCAGTTTTAAAAGCCGAGTACAATTCTGTATACAATAAATCTGAATCAGACTGTAAGCTAAACTTTGTTGTGCGTATTGGAAAATCAAAGCTCCGGATAACTGATTTTCATTGCCAACCGATAGACTGTAATTTTGTGCTCCCTTTCAAGCATATCTAAACTAATAAAAATTAGAGAGAATAACACCCGTACCCCTAAAGTTTGTCACCAACACACACGAATTTTCTTAGAGTATTTTCAACTTTAATTCTAATTTTATACCAAATTTTTAAAAAAACTCAAATTTTATACCAAATTTTCAAGAGTATACTTTTTACCCCCATCCAAAACTCCTCTCTCTCTCACTCACGCACACATTGCAAACCTCAAGACTTATGGCGAACCCACTAGCCTTTCCTTCCCATACCACCCTGTGTTCTTGATGATCTTCACTATTATTTCTTTCGGCAGAGCAAAGCCTCAACAAAGTAATTCTGTAATTAAATTCAAGGCCCCCAATTTTCTTCTTGTTCTCAGGTATTTTCTTGATGAAACCTTCCTACTGTTTACATTAATATACCTTATCAGGAACAATTTATAAACAGAAGTAATAGAAATAGAAAAAAAGATTGATCTACCCCCACACATTTAAACTGAATTTTCTAATATTTAAAAGGATTAAAAAATGATCACAAATTAAAAACCACCAAAATCTCTGCCAGCCACGCCATAAAAAACACTAAATCTACCCCTCTTCCCCACAACATCGCCCACCACCACCATCATGGCTTGAAGATTTCCCTTCTAAAGGCGTGAAATTAGTCATTTTTTATTGCCAATGCTTCAGCAACCAAAACTTCCTATCCCTTCTTCCATTCCATCTTCAAATTCTCACCGTCATCTTATGAGCTCACAAATCCTCCATGACCCAACAGATGTGGTTTGTGACACTCTCCCAGTCCCAGCTCTTTATCCAACTTCAACCCTAGTATGTAGTATCCCCCAGTGAGAGAGGGACTCACTCACACAGTCACATGACTGATTCTAGAATTGTGATTCATTAAGTACCTCTGGATCACCCAAAGAGTAAACCCGTTAGTTAGTTTAAGAACCATCAAAGACCACTTATTATATTAACCAATCTTATACGGCACCCATCACCAACCTAAGTAGGATGTGACGTGTTGGACTAAAACAGTTTTTTTGAATTAAAAATTAATTTTTGATTGACTGAGACAAAATTAAAGTGCGATTCACTCATTATTTTAAGTAAATTTTCGTGAGATCATATTCTACTCCACGAAAAGAATAATATAGTATATTCACTTGTTCATATCAAGTAAGAGGTGAATTAGAAAATAAGATTCAAAATGACACTCTTAATATGAAAATAGAAGTTGCAACAATGTAAATTTGACACCAATCTCATATTGATTGGGCTTCATATCTCAAGTTTGATAGATGGAGAAAGAGGCGACCAGGGCTTGCTCACGAGGAAGAGGAAGAAGTATAAATATCAAGGTTGAATCGTGGTATAGCCATGGGGCTAGCATGTGTATCAAGGTTGAATCGTGGTAGAGCCATGGGGCTAGCATGTATAGGGGCATTCAACGTGTATCGCGCTCCTTGACTTGGAAGATTGTGAGGGCAATACCAGACATAATTGAGCAATGTTTGGAAGACTTATTTAGTCGTTGTTTTGATATGTTGGAAGACTTGTGTGATTGTTTCGCAATTACATTCTAATGGTGGGATGAATTTGGAGATTTGGCCTATTTCAATTTTACAAACACATGTAGTTGGAAATGATACATGCTTTGTTATTTATTAGGGGGATTTAGAGACTGGTCCCTAGGCCTAATAGAATTTTAAAAAAATTCACTTCTTAATTTTCTTTTATATATATATATATGAGTTGGGCCCCAAAGAGTATTGCAAATTTTGTGGAAAGATGAGGATCAACATGAGTTTGGTTCAACCACACACCATGCCACGCCTCATGTTAGTTAGTTGTGGGTTAGATTCAACGATGTGAGAGAAAATTTATTTACGAAATAAAAATATGTATATTGGTTCGCTTGACAATCATTATGTCTATATAAACTCAGATTCATTCTCATAGATTATCAATGTACATTTATGAAAGTACGTAACATAATTCTGGATATCTTGGCAATCAAATTGAAGTGTTACTTCTAATTGCTTGAAAATTATTGTATCTCAGGAGCCAAATGTCAAGATTTTCATTGACATCAATGTAGGGGCAAAATTTATCTTTAAAGACATAGTGTTAAAATGCTAACCTTGATCTATAAAATTTAATCTCCATTCTTGAAGTGTAATCGAGTTAATTTTATTTATTGAAGTTTATATGTTATTATTTTGTTCTTGTATATTATTGTTTTGGTCTTAATTTCATAAATAGATTTATGTGTTTCTATTTAATATTTTTTAAAATTTAATATCATTCTAGAATCTCAATAAATAAGTTACCACATTGATATCATCTGCCAACACAACAGTCTCTTTAGTCACAATCTACCTACGTCAGATGATCTAGTTTAAGCACTTTTGCTCTTTCTTTCCTGTGCTGTGGATGGTGAGGTCGGTTAGATGGGTCTTATGAAGGAAAAAAAGGGGACCCTGTCAAAAAGCTGTCAAGAAATTACAACAAATTCCGTGTGTGTGTGTGTGTGTGTGAGAGAGAGAGAGAGAGACTAAAATTGTGCCAGGAATGGATGCACTTATTTTAATTAATGGTTGCAAGCAATAACAAAAATGTTTTGTTTCTGTTTTTCATAATCATATAGCATGTAAGAAAGCCACTATATCAACCCTGTGTGAAATAATAAAAGCCAATTGTAGTAACTGAATTCAGACTAAGGGAAAAAATAAATCCCGAGTAGAGACCAAAAGACACAATTGCCTAGTTCTGTGAAATAAACCACCAAACCTCCACTGATTGCCAAGCTAACTAGCAAAAGCATTTAGAACTGGCCGCGTCGCAACTTAAGGGTGGAATAGAAGCCAATGTTCCCCACAAAGAATAAAATAATAAGAACCAAGGCTGCAAGAATTACCCACCCCCACTGCTGCAGTTTGCTCTTGCCTCTGTTGCGCAGAGGTGGGGGAATAGATTTTGTCTTGCTCTGCTTTGTGAACTGTGATGGTCTTGAAGGTCTTTTAGTTGTCGCAGAATGAGTATCCTTAATTTCAACCACCTTAAATGTTCTAGTCAGTGTTTCTGAGGTTGGAGCAATTTCCCCATCAGTGATGCCATCATGGGCCTCTGCTGCAGCAGCCTTCTTTCTTTCCTTCTTCCTCAACTTCTTCTCCCTCTCCTGTTAATTAATAATTTCACATAAAACCAATAAAGGAAGGTGAAGCACAACAATACTTTATGGAAAAATTACTTGTTTCATTTCAACAGGGTACTTTTTCAGTGCTAAAAGGGAGCCATGCATTGGAAAACTCAAAATTTACCTTCTCCTTCTGTTCAGCTTCCTTCTGCGCTCGTACGTCTGCCCTAATCTGCGCTTTCTCTGCATTTCGTTTTTTCCTCTCTAGTGCCTCTTTGGCCTTGGCCTTCTCCTCCAACCGGCATTGCTCTTTCAACTTGGCCGCAGCCTCTTCCTTCCTCAAGTCCTCTGCCTTCCTTGCCAACTCCAGTTCCTCCTTTGTTTGCATATGTTCTTCCTCCTTTGTCTCTTCAGTATCATCCCTGCCAGAAAACGTTGCTGACCCACTCGCCAAAATAGGTTTCACAGATTTTTTAGTTTTCTCCATATGATTGTTATACTCTGCTACCTTCGCGATGGATTTACCATCTGCTACTTCACCTTCAACAGGTGACACTTGTTTCTCTTGCTCCAGAGTCAGAGTTGGAGACAAAGGGTTGGCCTTGACAGGGCTAGAAGCCAACCTATCAACTCTTTCATCCGCATAACTGGGTACCAGAGGGGGCTCCTCATCAGGGCCAAGTGCACGGCTATCCAATGTCCCCAATCTTCTCAGTGTGCTCCTTGTGTTAAATCTAACATATTCTTTGCGGAACTCATCATTCTTATTCCATAGTTGCATTAGTGATTCCACCTAAAAAATTGACACATAATACAAAGCTTGAGCTCACTTTTCATAGAAAGCCACCAAAGGAATGCACAAACTAACCTGATTGACACATTTACGATGAAGTGCCTTGCTATCTCCAGTTGATCCATATCGACTGGCAGCCATTGAATCATCCTTGTACATTCGAAAATGTTGGTTCTGCACGTTCAAGTACTTAAAAGAGTTCAATCATGAGCTCCAATCTCTTGTTCCCTTAATGCGCTCATACAACTTTGCAATAAAAATATTGCTATAGAACAGAAGTGATACACATAGAAAGAAGGTTTAATCATCATGGAGGTGCCATTTATAACTAAGACCCAAGTCAAAACACTTGGGCAACAGGTGAGGCTACACAAGTAAGAGTCTAATGCAGGGGTAGATCATGTTTTGAGGAAGCATCCACCAATATATCCTGCTTATATAATGTATACAGTTAAGAAGATAATACACTTGCATAATATAGATAACCTCACAAGCACTTAATCGGTTGGGAAACCACTAAGGATCCATTTAATTGGAAAGCAAAGGTTGATAAAAATAAAACTGAGAGAAAAGCAAGAAAAAGGAAACTAAATTCTGGATTTTCTTGTAGGCATTTGATTAGGATGAAAATTCTCAACGACTTCTGTAGGGAAATTTTAGTTAATCGTTTGGAAAGCAAGAAAGTAGATAGAAATTATTGGGATTTGACAAAATAATTCTTATTCATTTTAGCCAAAATAATAGACATAAAATAATCAGAGGAAGCTATAATCATCGTCATGACGGAATAGATCATGCACAGTCCTAACCAGTAATACTAAGTAAAATATTATTCTTAAACCACAAGAATCCTCGCATGGCAAACATCATCATCGTAAGCAATCAAAAAGTAATCTCAACAAAAACCCTCCTCTTTCATTTCCTGCAACTCCTATTGGTAAACCAAAACTGACTCCATTTCGGTACCCATCCACCTCTTAAAACCCATAACCTCATTTCCATATCCCTCCACCTCAATGCACAGAATCTAAATTTTCTAACCCAAAATTTGTTGGAACAAATCTGAAAAAAAAATGTAGATCCATCAATAACTTAAGAGACAGAGAGTTTGATCAGAAAAGCTGAAAACATTGCAGACTTGCAGGAGACAGATATCCCATCTTAGTCTGGTCAAAGAAGTAGGATTGGAATGGAATGTTGGTGAGAGTTTGGGGTTTCTGGCAATGTGCACCTCCTGGTAACTAAAGGCTTGTAGTTGCTAGCAAAACTACTTGAGTTTGAAGTCAGAACTATGCAGAGGCAAATAGGGAAATTGAGACAATGGCTAATACCTTCCAATGAGACAACAAAATTTCCCCCTATTTCCAGGAAAATTGTAAGATCGGGAATATTCTTTCTTGCATTTTTCTTTTTCACACACTTTCCATCATTCATTTACCAAATGAAGCGTAAATGATCAAGTTACATGTAATTTCCATGCAAGCAATGAATCCCAAAGCTCCAAGAGTGACAGAGAACCGTATATAGGACATTGAAAGAACCCGTTTTGAAGTAGCACTATGTAAATATAAGACGTTACTATGAACTTTGTCAGATAATTGTCCCAAACATCTACCATTGATAAACCTAGAATTGACTCTACGAGAGAGAACAAAACAAAAATTGTTAGAACCAAAACAAGAAATTGCGATCACAATATTATCTAATCTATGAGCAGAAGAGTGATATTGCCCAGCATCTTCTCAATTTACTTCTCCTATTTTCATATATCTGTATCTATCCACAGCTCATAGAAGGCACCTTCTCAAAAAACTCATGGTTCTAAGAAGAATTTCACTATCATCCTCAGCATATAATAGGAAGAAATTCTCAAGTAGAGAGATCATAACCTTAATAAGCAATCAGCAAATTGTGGTCAGGTAATTAGGAAAAACAGAAGATCTTACTTGAAAAATGGGAGATTAACTTTGACAAAAATCAAGAGTAGTTAATTTTAGCTCCGATAGCCTCCAAACTATTCCAGAAAACTTAAAACTGAATCATCTGCCATATTATTTGTGAAGATTAAATAATTATGGTTAGAAGCGAGAGAAAGTTTGAGAGAAACAGAGAAAACAGGCTCGTGTTCTCTTTCTCTCTCTCTCTCTCTCTCAGTATATACAACCATGTATGCTTTGACTAAAAAGAGCAATATACTACACAGTATCCACTCCAATGTTATTGATGCATGAAGTATACCAATTGAACACCTTTTCTGTGCACAGCAACGAAACTCAAAAGAACAAATTGGAAAATATGCCTTCAAAGAAAAGAATGTAAGGATAGTCCAAATGGGACACCCGTCGCTCTATACTCTATATATGTACATATTTCAGTCTGGAACATTCACATAGAGGAGCATACGTATCATGCATGCTCCTCCACTGCTGACAAAATTCCAATATATGCAATTCCCGTAATGCATATATAGTCAATTGCGAAGATAACATTGAATGCACTCTTTTAACTCCACAATAGGATCACATACTGGTCAAGGCAATGGTGTCTTCTGTAATCCCATTGTCATTTTCATAAGAATATAGATAAGGAGGTCCATTTTTCGGCACGCACTAATCCTATAGCCGGTCAAATAGCCTGAATAATGAGCCTTAAACCTTCGTGTCAAGCCTTCTTGTGATTTGGAAGAGGGAAGTCAATGGTTGATAGTCAATGCACTATCCATCAAGTTATTGGATTTGTACATAATCCTATTTGCAAAAAGTAAATAAATATGACCCCGAAAAAATAAACAACGAACCTTCTCAAGCAATTGTACCCTCAAACTCGAGAAATGCGAGTATGCTTGTTGACGAATATCATCGGCAGCCCTAAACTGAGCTTGCAATTCCTTTAGCCTCTTACTTTCATCTTCATATTTCTTCCCCCCTACTACAGCAGCTGCTTCAGCTTTTGAAACCTTGTCTTTAAGGCAATCCAGCTCTTTCCTCAGAATCTGCAAATGTTGAAATCAGATCAGCAATTGGGGGGAAATAAATTAAGAGAAAAGCAATCCCAGCTTCTAAAATATATAACATCCTTTCTCTTATCTGCATATAACCTCAAAGGTACCAAGATAGCCAGGTCAAATATTCTAGCAAAAGGAAGTTAAAAATCTTGGATTTCCACACAATTATAACTCTTAACAAAGTGATGATGCCACAATAAACAGCCTATCAAATCTTAAAATTATACAGATCAGGAGCCAGTTATGATACCTTCAAACGTTCTTCGACTTGGTCTTTCTGTTGCAACGCCTGCTGAACTTCATCTCGGCTCCCCATATTAGAAGACAATTGCCCACGAAGATGCCTCAATTGCTTAATTTCACGAATGAATTGCTTTTCTTCTTTTAAAGGCAGGGTTTCATGTTCTATCATGTGTTCCACATTGTTTATCTGCTTCCAGGACAAAAATTCAAAATGTAGGCGTGATAGGTAAAGTGAGAAAACATTTCAGGTTATCCCTAGTTCAGTTTCCATGGAAACATTTCTATCAAAAAAAATATCCCAGGGAAACAAAATGAGAGAAAAGCCAATGCTTACCCGGGCATCAATATCTTCAACAGAAATGGCATTCTTCACTCTGTTGATCATAGATTGTACTGAATCTATTTCTTGGCGCTTTGCCTTCACCAATTTTCGTGAAGCTTTCACTTCTGCATTGGCAGCGTCATACTCATCACCATGGACTTGACAATTGGCCTGTTTGTATGAGCATCCCACAAATCTTATTTAGTTAAAAAAATTGATGAACGGTAATGCATTCTCAGAATAACTTTTCTACCTTTTTCTTCTGGATTTCAACTCGAATAGCATCCCTGCACTTTGTCTTCTCATCAACTTGAAGCTGAGCTTGTCTGATCTGTTCCCTAAGATTTCCATCATCAAATCTTGGAATTCTTATCAAGAAACGGAATGGCCGTGTTGTAGCTTCTGCGCCCCCATTCTGTCCATGCATATCATCAGCACTGGAACCCTCTGGCAAAGAAGTTGATGTCCCATCCCTGTGAATTGCTTCACTATCCATGGTTTCTACACATTTTAGTTTGCCATCACCACCTTCACTTTCACCATTAGATTGATCTTCCCCATTTCCAACACTGACACTCACCGGGGCAGTATTTAGGGCATCTGCACTGTTAACAACAGGGCCATCCAGAACCTCAGATCCAGATACAACTGCAATGTTGCTAGGCATATCTCTACCGCTTATGACAGAAAAATTTTCAACTGTGGAGCCTGACTTCACATCAGCACTACTTCCGTTTTGGACTGAATCAGAAACATGACATTCTGGCTCCAAATTGTTTGCTGAAATAGACTGCCTGTGGGCATGTTCAATGTCCCCATTCGAAACTAGCGATTCCATATGCCTATACTCACCAGGAAAAGTAGGTATATTTTTTTCATGTTCAACAGAAGCAGCCTCAGATTGTAGGAGCACATCATTATCAGGACAACTTAAAATGCTCTCACCTTCAACAGGGCCGTTGCCATTCTCCATTAAAATTTCTGACTGTGCATCCTCAGCACAAGAGATGACACTCTCACAGTTTTTAATATCAGAATTTTCAACTTGGGTTTCAGGCTCAGTAACGTTGGCACCACTGGATGGCAAGTCTTCCATAACCAGAAAATTCCTGCATCTGACTTCTTGGTCTCCTGTTGTACCATCCTCAGAATCAGCCAGAAGAATGTCACCAATTTCAATTGGCACACTCCCATTATTAACTTCTGGTTTCACACAGACAGTGGGAGAAGACAAGCTTTCATGTTTTTCAGAAGACCCATTTGGTTCAGGGGCTTTTTGACCATAGTCAGTGGGAGAAGGCAAACTTCTGGCTTCGTTATGTTTTTCAGTTTGTGAAATGCAACCTTCGACACAAGATGTAGGCAAGTTACCTTTGTTTTCATCTAAGACTGATTCACCTTCGGTTTCCAAAGGTGAATCAATCTCATTGGCTAATTCCGTTGCTTCACGACCCTGATCCAAATCAGCTTGGATATCATTAGTGACCAAAACCTGAGATTTCTGTTTTTGCTTTAAGAGTATATCCAAATCCCTGATGATTTCCTCCTCAACTCTCCCGTCTCCATTAACAAGCTGACAGGACACGTACTCAGCAGGGGTTGCAAATGTGATTTCAGATTCCATAATATTTTCAGGTTCTATAGCTAACTCTAACTTAGTTGTCACCTCAGACTTGACCTCCCCAACCTTAACCTCTGGTGTTTCATATTCAGGAGCCTCAAAAACTTCCATTTGAAATTCTTTCCCCTCTCCTAATTCTTCAATCGATCCTACATTAATTTGCTTCTCATACTCCACCTTTATATCACTGGAACCATCAGCAACTGATGACAATATTTTAAATTTCCGACTCTCTCCCAAGTCCTCGGCTGAATTCGAAACATTAGCTTCAGATTCTTGAGTCTCTTCAGGGTCAGGAGCGGACTCCAACGCAAGTCGACCCTCAATGTTCACCTCACCAGCACCCTGCTCCGGTTCAAATCCCACTGTGGCACTTGGTTCCTCCACCCTATTAGTGCTCACAACTTCAACCCCATCCTTGTCGACTTTTCCTTCCAAGCTTTCTGGGGAAACATCATCGGTTAATTGGGTGACATCAGTCAAATCAACAATGCAGTTGTTCTGCTCTGCAGAGGACGGAACAATTTGCGCATCATCAACATTCAATTCCCCAACTTGGACCTCTATAGCCTTCGATTTGGTGACAACGTTGGATTCTGCATTTAGATCCAATTCATTTGGATCATCACTTGCGTGGCCGTTCTCGTTCACAAAAACATACGAATTGTCCGGATCATCCCTCCCGCTTTCATCGGCATCGTGGTCGTCCTCATCAACATGCTTGATCCCATTGCAACCTGAACCATCGGCTTTGGGCAGATCCTGATAAAAACTCTTATCCAACCCACGCGTCTCCTCAATTTCACCATTCAAAGAAACCTCAGAAAGCTCCCTAAGAACTTCGGTTTCAGCCGTCATTTGAATCACGCGTTCCAACAATTAACACAATCTATAATGCAGTTTATGTGTATGCTCTATCAAGATCGCGAAATCAAACGATAGCAATGAATCAAAATTGTATAAAAAAAAAAACAAAAATGAGAAACAGCATGCATGAAATTTATGAATGGGATTCACTTACAGGATTCGGTATGATCCAGATGCGAGAGAATCGAAACCTTTTTTCAGATCGGACGTCTCAGAATCTCCAGATCAGCCCAATCAGGACAAGCACCGTCCAGATGAACGAGATTTAATAAGTAATAAGGGTTTGGAAAATGAGGAGGAGGAGGGAAAGGGAAAGAACTAAGAAGAGAGCTGTGGCACTTTGTCTGTCTCTCTCTCTCTCTCTCTCTCTCTCTCGAAGAGAAGAGAACAGACTACAGAGTCTCGCAATAAGGAACAGCTGGCGAGGGAAAAGCTGCCTTTCTCTGTTGATCTCACTTCGATTTGAACTCAAATACAAATACTCCATCCATCCGCCTCTTACCTTTTTTTTTTTTTTCGGTTTTTTGACGTGTTTATATTTTATTTGAACAATCAATTATTACAAAAAAAATTGTAATATAATATAGATTAAACACACATTATCAATCTAATAGTTAGTTAGTTTTACTATATGTTCATCTTATGTTTTATTTTAGTAATACGTATATTTTTCATCATCATCATCAACTAATAAAAGACTGTAATAACAAAATATCAACATCAACAACAAAAAAAAAAAGAAAAAAGAGTATATTTATTTTTTTAACAATATTCACCGTAAGACTTGGATGATTTTAATTTTAAAATATTAAAATTAATCTCAAATAATTGTATCAATAGAATAAAGAGTAAATTCTCAGATAAGGAATAGGAGTTCTCGTAATGATTGCGTCAGCCACTGAAAAAGTCGATGGCTACTAAACTTTCTTACGTTTGGTTGCTGCATTTTTTTTGTGCAATTAACTAATTTCTATTGGATCGGAACCTCTATAATATATATATATACAAGACGGAAACGGTACATATCCGTTAATGATTCTTTATTTAAGGACTTTTAAGGATATAAATACAAATATATACAAAAGCTATCCACCAAAATAAGAATGAAATCCAGGCATCCAAGGAATTGCTATTGGCTCATTTGTACACTTAACTCATTTAAACACTCCTACCAATGCATCACGCCCGTGAATATACTAAATAATAATTTTTTATAAATAAATTAAATTATATATATAATTAATTAAATTAAATATAATTTATTTTATTTATTTTTGAGTATGTAATCTATTATTTATTTAGGTATCTCACTGATCTCTTAAATATTTCCTCTTTTATTTAGAATAAATATTTATTGTAAGATTGTTATCATTTAGTATTTGTACATCTAATTAAATTATAAATTTATTATATTTGTTGTCAAATAAATTGTAATGTTATTGTTTGTGTTTGAAAGCACAGAGTAATAAAAAATGATAAATAATAAACATATTTGTATTCATATCCAAAATCAAATCACAAACATAAAGAAAAAATAAATGAATTTAAGCGTCGGGTTGTAGTAGGGATGAGAAGTGATGGGCGACAATGGTAGTGGTATGAAACGGTGGCGGGTGGCAATGACGACAACAGTGGTAGTAGTGGCAGTGACAACAACAATGGTTATGGTGACAGTGGTGGCAGCGGCGACGATGGCGGCAATGATGGCAGTGGAGGTGATGACGATCGCAACGGCGGTGATAGTGGTGGCTATGGTGGTGGCGGAGGCGGTAATAGAAGTGACAGTAATAGAGGTGGCAGTAGTGGGGGGTGGTGGTCATGGTGATAGAAATAGTGATGAAGCAATTTCAAATACTATTTTTTTTAAAAGTATTTTTGAGAAATAATTCTTAAAAGTATTTTTAAAAGATCATTCCAAACACACCTTTAGAGCCCTATTTTTTCTATTCCCTCCGTTTCTAAATATCTGTCGTTTAAGGTTTTTGTACAGAGATTAAGAAAGCTATTAAATAGTTCTAATATGAGTAAAAAATAATTACACAAGACTAAAATATCATTATTCAATACGTATTGGGAAGAAAATGAATATGAAAGACACTTAGCCTTCACCTAATCTAATGCATTGAAAAGTTAATGGTAAATTTAGAAGAAAAAATATTTATTATGCTTTGATTTCATAAAACGACAGATATTATGGAACAAAAAAATTTGTGTAAAACGACAGATATTTAGGAACGGAGAGAGTATTAAGTTTAAAGTGTTAATATTAACCGTTACATTAACTTTAAAATAAAATTTAAAGCGATTTGAATCGCAAAAAATAAAAATCATTTTATTTTATCTTTTGAATTGTAAGATACTTTATTATATATACTAGTTATTGTTTGTGCCTGAAGGCACATAGTAATAAAAAATGATAAATAATAAATATATTTGTATTCATGTTCAAAATCAAATTAAAAACATAAATAAGAGATAAAAGAATTTAAGCATCAAATTATAATTAGGATGAGAGGTGGTGCGCGACAGTGGTGGGGGTAGTAGGAGATGGTGATAGTTGTTGTGGGTGGCAATGACTGTAGTGGCGGCGAGGGCGATGACAATGGTGGCGGTGGTAGCGACAACGACGACGACGATGACGGTGGTGGTGGTGATGGCGTTGGTGGCGACAGTAGTGGCATTGGTGGTGGGGGTGGTCGCGGCGATAGTGGTGGTTGTTGTGGTGGTGGTAGAGGTAGTGGTGGATCAGTTTGAAACACATATTTTTTTAAAAATATTTATGAAAAATAATTTTTAAAAGTAATTTTAAAAAGTCACTCCAAACATACCTTTGAAGCCCCTATTTTTTCTATTAAATTTAATGTGTTAATATTAGCTGTTAGATTAACTTTAAAATAAAATTTAAAGTGATCTCAACCGCGAATAATAAAAGTCATTTTGTTTATCTTTTGAGATTTGAATTACAAACTACTTTATTATATAAAAAATATTGTTGTATACAAAAAAAATTAATTATAAAATATATTAGACTATAGAGTAATAGAATATAGATTAGACTTTTATTTCTTCATATAAATATATACATAAATATAAAAAATTGTATGCAAGTGAACTACTAATAAATGAGTTCAAAAGAATTTAAATATCAAATATAATTAATACAAGAGTCTAAAAAAAACTTAGAAGTCAAATAGATGTAGAGAATAAAAATTGAATGAAAGTCGTATAAAATTTAGAAATCAAATACGATTAATAAAAGAGTTTGAAAGAATTTAGAAATCAAATAGATATAAAAAATAAAAATTAGAGGAAACGAATATATGTGTATCATTGATCTTATAATAAAAATTATGGATAAAATAAGAAATTAAAATTTTTTCACAACTTTTATTTATAAGTAATATAGATAGATAGATAGATAGATGTTCGTAATCTATTTAAAATTATTCCTTATCCATTTATCTATATTTATAAAACAAACAAATTATTGGAAAAAATGTTTTGAAAGTCTTATCTCCTCATTTCTTAAATGTTTAGAATTTGAATTTTTTTTAATTATTATACTAAGACTCGCTACAATCATTTCTTAAATTGATAATTTTTTTGCTGAAGCACAGTAATGGTTGAATTTTTATGCAAGTTGATTAAACTCAAATTGAAGGAAGACAAAGATAAGGGAAACAACTGCATTTTAGAAATGGTAGGTTTGGGTATCACATACATACATGATGATACATGTGAAGTCGGCAATTGCATTTGCCATCTCATCTGAATCTACTACTTTTAAAAATTAAAGTATATATCCATTTATATCCGTTATAACCGTCACTGCGTCATCACTCATCATCCGTGAACGTGAAGGCCAACCCAATCGGCGTCGGCATCGGCGCCGGCACTACTTCCTCCCTCCCTTCCCTTCCCTTTTCCCGCGTCTCTGTCACGTGGTTTCCCACCTCCACACTCTTCCGGTGGTCCCAGGCCTAACAGTAATAAAAGGTGACACTAACATTTAGTCTCCACACCACACCACCATACCTTGTATACGTACTATCTCGCTCGGTCAACAAGATGGTGCCAAAAAGCAATGTAAAATTTAGGACCATATATATTTCACTTTTGAAAATTATCTTATTTGAATCAATAATTATACATTATTTTAAATAACATTAACTGCTACAAATCTGATTTTAGACTAAGCATAATTTTTTTATGTTAAAATTATTTACTCATAATTAACATATCTTAAATCATATGCGGCCACTAAATATCTTATTTATTTCATTAATATGGAAATATTATTTACATACATTTAGTAATATTTTTGTCAAGTATTACATATAGTAAGTTGAATGATTCATGGTAAAATATATATATATATATATATATATAAAAAAGGCAGAAGAAACATTAATTAATTCCTCATAATGGAATGAAGATGTAAGCTACAATCCCAAGTTGTCAAACTTTGCCATCACTACCCTCCTCTCACACCCAAATTAATGCTCATCCATTCACGCGTCTCAGCAAATTATGTCCCTACCTAATATCCACCCTTAATATTGGGTTTGCAACACTTTGACTAGCTCAGATTCAAATCAGACCTAAATTTAGTTCATAGGTTAAATACAAATCATCTAAAGGCATGATAAACTTAACTCATACCTCAAAGTCTTAATCTAATTTAAAGCTCAAGAAGAGTCAACGCGCATAAGAGATCAATAATCAGGATAGTCATTACTTAAAGATAATGTCTATCCCCAATTATAGATATCTCTTTCGATAAACTAGTACATTGACCTTAAAGACACCGCCTCGACTGGGGCTTTATACCTATAAATTGTAAACCCCATACAGGGACAAAAATCTTACACACACTTCACATTGAACATACTCTTACTTTCTCTCTTATTATTTTGTACTTTTCATTAGTAGAGTTTTTCGGTCGTCGTTGCCGCATTCAGTGATTAAGTCACCCAGGTTCAACCATCCAATTTTTGTTTCTTAGTATTGATTGTTTCATTAATTGTTTTACACCATATATTCAATTAATTTGACGTTGCATAAATCAACTTTTATGTATAATCTATGCTATCTATAAATAGAATGCGACCCCCAGTCAGGGCAGTGGGCAGGGTCCAAGGTCTACACATGATCTTGCAAAAGTTTCTTCTTTTTTTTTTTTTGGGGGGGGGGGGGGGGGGGGGGGATGCGCTATACATTGCAGTCACGCATGCATAATGAACAAAAGTGTAAAGGAAGGAACAAAACAAGTCCTATCTATCATATCATCTATGCCTATCTCTATTAATGTAGCTTTAACCGACTGACTCAGACATGTTCTGGTCCTGGTATGGCTTCACAGTTCACAGTAGCATTAGCACCATCCAGTGCATAGTGGCTCCTAGACTCCGTCTGCGTGTAC